TTTATTTTACAGACGAGGATGGAAGACAGAGAGGTTAAAACCCAAGATGAACCTCCATTTAATAACAGGTCTTCTTCTTCCTGTGGTCTTTTTAATACATTCTCCTTAGAATAAGTTCCTAAACTTTGGAGTGGCATTTGGGCACCATTGGCATATATCATAGTTTTGGGGGTTGCAAACAGAATCTACACCATTGCGAAATGAATACATTGAATTGAAGGTTTTAGCCAAGCTGTTCCGGAAGTAGAGTGTCACAGGGGCCCCACTACAGCCTGAGAACATGTGGTCCCACCCTGGGGGGAGGAGGGGGTGTCCTCATTTTTCTTCAGAAAATTCTCAGTTGTCCTCAGTCTCAGATTCTCTTTTTTAACCTCAGACTTTAGGCTGAGAAAACCCTTTTCTATCAGTATTATTTTTATAAAATCTGTGTTCGAGTTTTGCTTTGATCTTTACTTATGAAAGCTTTTGGCGTTTGTTTGGAATACCTACATTTAATTTTTATGCTAAAGGAGGACTATGAGAAAATGTAGGTAAGGAAGAAAAATCACTTCACTAGATATTGTTGTTCTTAAAAGCATAACTAAAGAATTTCTGTAGAAGGGGAGGGAATAGTCTGTTCTCCTGGCTAGTAAAATGAAGATATCACAGCAGCTGCAGAGTATTGGTTTCACTGTTGGAATTCATTTTGATACAGTGGATTTTTATTATTTTTTTAACTCCCCCCCAATGTGTGTTTTTTTTTTTTTTTAATAGCAGGTGTGACTTTTAACCTTCCAAACTGAAATTGTACAATAGCGAGTAATTTTGAAGGGGCAAAATAATCCAAAATATGTGGGAAAGGAATTGAAGAAAGATTAGTAATCTTTCCATGTAATTTTGAGCTCAAATAATAGCTCTTACATTGAACAAAATAGAGACATGTTATACTAAAAATTGAGAACTGGCAAATGTTAGAGGAGAAGATAATTGGCAAGTTTATAAATTATGATTGTTTATACTTTTAATCTCTGGTCTAATTAATGGAGGCCTTGTCTTACTAATAAAATAGGTAACTTATTTTCAGAAATGCAAATATATCTTCACTGAGGTTATAATTAATATATAAACTCTTATGTATATAATTTGTACAGTTGGTAATGAAAATGCAAAACATTTTACTATTTTATAGATAAGATCCATAAAACTTTGAAAGTGGAGAAATGTGTGTGTCTTTCTTATTTTAATAAAATTAATGAAATAAATTTGTTGAGTAAGCCCCCAAAATGTACTTATAAAACCAATCGTTTGGACAACCTCCTTGTGTTGTAATCCAAATTGTCACAGACTTCACTTCCGTAGGCACTGCCACTACTTTTAATTCATTATATAAATAGGCATTAAATGTAGCTTTCAGCATTTCTAATTGTACTTAAGGTACCTCATTATAGGTAAATATTAAACAACAGTGAGTGTGGAAATTGTTATAATATACATAGGATATATAAATCTTGGTTTATCCAAAATTTCATCAGAATATTTTTCTTGTAACACCATGCATAGTTCTGACAGTTGATACTCATAGTTTTGATTCACATGTTCCTAAGATTCTCAGAAGCTTTCTGAGTCATTAAAGGTAGACTTAGTCTTTTCCACTTTTCTCTCTCGGCACTGTATACCTGGACCACTGCAGCAGCTCCCAGCCTCGTCTCCGTATCTGTAGTGTTTCCCTTTCTAGTTCATCCTGCACATTGCCACCACGTCATTCATCCTAAACAGTGTTTTCATCATATTCGTTCTTGCTCAAGAGACTGTAGCAGCTTCCTATTTCTATTACCCATTCTAGTCTCCTGCTTCCCCCCAGACAACTGCTACTCCAACAAGCCTCCCTCCTCCCTCTTCCCTCTCAGGAAGGCCTGGTGACGTAGCTACGCTGCCCCGCAGTTCTGTTTAGCAGAGGTTTGGCACAATATTTATTTCCTTTCTCTGTCCCTCCTGTTTATCCATCTGAAGCCCACCTGTCCTTTAAGACCTAGCTCAAATTCTACTTCTTACGTCAAGTTCAAGGCTACTCTTTGGACCACTCTGTTCCAATATCACCTCCCCGTGCCCCTTTCACTGAATGTTTGTCCTACACCTTTAAGTTCTGATGGTCCTTGTATTACTCTCCAGTTGTTTCTTGCCTGGATGTCACATTTTCCTGGCAGATCGTCCCAGGCAGTGGTTCAAGCTCTGACCATGTAGCTCTACTCCAAGCCCCACTGAGCCAGACCCTGGGGAGGAGCCTGGAAACCCCTGCTTTTAATAAGCTCCCCAGGTGATTCCAATGATGATCAAATCACTTGGTGTCACTTCAACTGTGTAGTAAATCAGTTGACAGAATGAACTGTAGATTTTGTATTAAAGGTATTTTTTAAGTTCTTTGAAAGCTTATGATCCGTGTGTAGTGTTACTCTTTTTCAGTCTATTTTAGTTAGCCTGGGTGCCCCATTCTCCCCAAATCAGTATCAGTGAGAGACATTTTCAAGTAAAATATTTCAGCCACATATACATAAAGGAATACATATGCAATTTCCCTTTATAAAAATTCTTTTCACTTCTTAATTATACAAATAATTAATGAATATAATCTCACGAAGAATTTAAAGATACAAAAACTTACTCTTGATTTCTTCTCCCATGTCAGACAGGGCTATCGATTTGCCATCTTCTCTTTGGAATTTTTAAAAGATTTGCTAAATTTCTTTTCTAAGATTTACTTGTAAAAAGTGCTTGGTATTTATTAGATGATCTGTAAACATTAGTCCTCCACTCCCAACCTTTTCCTCCTGCCTCCTAGGTTATTTTATATTTTGTGTAGTCGTTGGGACGCTGTTCATATCAACAGTTTCAGACGTCACCATGACCAATACTTTGAGTCAACATCCCTTGGCGTTCAGGAAACGCATCGCACAAGTGGTTGTGGTTATCACTGGACAAGACCGTAAGCGTGTAGACCTGGTGCATGAAAGATGGATTAGCGGCCAGGCTTACATGTCCCAGGGCTCCTGTGTCATCCTCGAGGCTGAACCCAAGCGTGCCAGTGGTCACTCATGCAAACCCTTAACGGTGAAGAATGGTGGTGGTTTTGTTGGAAATCTTTTCAAGAATGCTCACTAAAGTGTGGGTTTTTTATTTCCAAACGCTTTCTTCCTAACGTGTCAGCACTGAACCCGAGTTATCACTTGCAGGATATGCATGAAAAGGCAACAGGGCCCAACCCCATGGGACTGTTGCGACAAAGATATGCTACCTGGAGTACTTGTTTACCTAAGTTTGGTTACTAGTTGTTCAGAACCATACAAAGCTGTTTTTTCCAGAGCTTTGATTCTCCCGAGTGCTGGGCAGAGCCATCTGGAATTGGTGCGAGCTGATACTGTCCCTCCTTAAGTTGTGATATTAATCCCGCAGCTCTGTCCACATAGAGTTCTCTAGACCAGGGACATGTCTTCATGTTTCAGCATTCCACTTCCCTCGCCTTTCAGTCTCCCACGCTCTCCTCAAAAATTATTAAAAGAGAGAGAAACGGTGAGGGAAGCAGACCATTGGTAGCTTTTTAATTTTTTTTCTGTTTCTTGTTAACGTTTTCCCTCCCATACAACTTACTTCTGGTTATTGCCTTTAAAAAATTTCCCTTGCCTCTATCTGCCCCAATGCCCCTCATCATGTCAAGTTCCCTTTTTCTGAGAACTTGACAGGCTCATTAGCTGTTCCCTTGACATACCCCAGCTCACTGGTCATCAGCGTAGTGAAGCCAGGGTCCTGCGCTGCTGTGGCAGTTCTCAGCCGGGCAGTGCCAGGGACCATAGATTCCTCATCACGAGTCCCGGGTTCGTAAGTGCTTCATTGACTTACCTTCTTAGGCAGAGTTGAGCTTAGCCCTGTAACAACGTCACTGTCACGCACTCTCACACAGAAACGCTTTCTTGAGTGGGAGAGAGAGGATGACACTCCGCCTAGGCCTCCGGGGATGGGGCACAGCCAGCTTATCTGCGCCCCGTGTGTGGGGGAGGGTCCTGGACCTGCCAGTGTCACCCTGAAGACCTAACTGAAGTGCAGGCCGACGTGCCCACCTGAGGTTATTACTGTTTGTTTTCTGGTGTGTGTTTTAACCGGATGGTATTAAAAGGTGAAAGAACCCTGGGAAAACATTGTTTCTCTCTATAACAGAAGTTAGATTTATTTGTCTGTTTTTACGAGTTTTTATTGTCTGCGTAAGTCCAAAGTCAGTGTGGAAAATCATCCTGCAGCTTTTATTAGACAGATATTAAAAGTTGCAAATGGAAAGATTTCACAGTTGGAGGAAGACTCCACTTGATGGGTGAAAGTGTGTGGTGGGCTCCTGCCTGCCTGCTTTCTCAGATGTTTTCTGGGGAGGTTGAAAGGGGAGAATGAAAGATAACGCAGGGCGAATCAAAGGGATCTCATGTCTTACCTGTAGTTGTGGTTTGGGTGTTTCCAACATCTGCTTGTCATGTCCATTAGTACAAACACTTCAAAGGATCCAGTGTTTTCCCAGGAGGGATCTTTGTGGGAACCTCAATTTTTCTTTCTCAATCGATGTCGACAATCTCCACTTAGGGTCTCAAGTCGAACATAAAATGAAGTCGTTACTCAAGCAGAAAGAATGCGATGAATCCATAGTTTCTGTCTCTGAGGAGTAAACTAGTCTCAGATCCATGACTTTCTCAGGGAAAAAAAGCAACAACAAGATAGCAGTGCGACGTAGGAAGAAATAGAATATTTACATTTGTCACAACCCAGAATGTGTATAATAAAATATCCCTTTGCAGATGCAGATCTTTTTATAGCCTGTCCCGGTGGTTCTGAGATCACTTTCGACCTACAGATAGCAAATCTCTGTTGCCCTCCCAGGATTCTTCCAGAAGGCGAGAGAAGTGAAATGCTGACTATAGACATTAAGCCTTTATGTCCTGGTGCTTTATTTCTGATGGTTTTTCTTTTTCTTTTTCTTTTTTTTCCAGACCATCCAGACCTTTCAAGTTACCAAAAAGGTACAGTAATCGGATCATTTTATTAAATAACAATCTTGCCTGCATGCTTTCCCCTCCTCGTATTTTCTCCACGTTTTGCTGCTGTTTCCACCTTCCTCGTTCATAGTTTGTGAAGGAGAAATACATTTCCCCTGAGCTGGTCGCTTGATGGACCCTCTCTCCTCAGTGGTTTTCATCTCCAGGTGGCTTTCTGGCCTTATCCTGTTGGTGTTTCATCGCTCACATTGGCCTAATATTTTGCTCTCCTTCCTGCAGTGGATTGATTGGCCTCTCATTGAGAAGGCCATAATATTGTGCCAACTCCCATGGCTGGAATTCATGGCACTTTTTTCCAAATACATTGGTTGTGTTTCTCCCTAAAAATTCCGTTGCCCTATTAAGGTGGGAAAGACTCTTTTGCGTGACAATTTTAAAGTTTTACCTTTCCAGGGGAAGAGCAAAATTTTAAATGGATACGAGTTTCTGAACAAACGGTCTTGTCTCATCAGATGTCCTTGAACATTATGGTTCCAGGTGTAATATGATTACACCGTAAGAAACGCAAAGCGATCTTTGAAATTCACTTGCTAAAAATGCTCAGATGCAATAGCTCTGGAGCCTTTGGAGTAAAATGACTACATAAATTTTAATATGAGCAAATTCCTCTTCCATTTAAAAAATACTTATTTTTTAAAATGTTGGCAAAATAGGCACAGCATAAAGTTTACTATTTTAACCATTTTTAAGTGTTCGGTTTTGTGGCATTAAGTACATTCATATTATTATGTGGCCATCGCCACCACCCGTCTCCAGAACTTTTTTCATCTTGCAGAACTGTAACTCCCTCCGTCCAGCCCCTGGCAACCCCCGCTCTTGTTTCAGTCTCTGTGAATTGGACCCCTCTATTACCTCATCTCAGTGGGACCAGGCAGTGCTTTGTGTGATTTCATCACAGGCTGATTTCACTCCGCATACTGTCCTCAGGGTTCATCCATGTAGCACGTGTCAGAATTCCCCTCCTTTTAAAAAGCCGAATGATATTCCATAGTATGCATATACTCCATTCTGTTTATCCATTTTTGTGGAAAAAATAAAGGAAAGAGGTTATATCAGTAAAGATGGCATATTAAGAACAGCTGTCCCCGGCAAGGTTGGCGCCTGAAACATCTGGTGAGGAGGGTGGTGGTAGAGTCAGGTGAAAGGCGGGGACATGTATGTAAAAGTCAGCACATGCGTGTCGTGGGTAGCAGCGCAGCCAAATCAAAACCAAATGCTTTCAAGGGAGGGGAAGCAGTACTTGCAGCGGGTCTTTTAAGGTGGCTGCGCATGTGCGTGCAGAGTTTTCGAGAACACAAGACAAAAAGCCATTATAGGGGTGCATTAAACCACAGTATGAAAGCTAAGCCATTGGGGGCCCACTGCCCTCTATTGATAACGTGCTTGTAGGTAAAAATGAGTAACTTCTGGTTCAGTTGAAAGAAAATGGATCCATTTAAAAAAGGGTCTCGAGAGTCATTGTGGAAGCCCGGGGCATTTTCATTTCGCAGGGCTGATCTTTTAAAGGTCTGGCACGTAAAGGCCTCTGTTCAGTCTGAAGCAGTGAAGAGAAAGTCTCAAGTGCGCTATTGACCCAGGACTTGACTGCTTCAGAACCCGTTCCTTGCACCTTAGTTTGCATTTGGCGGGGGAGGAAATAAAGTGTGAAGAATATAAGAGCTGGGTGTGTTCTGTTACGTTGAACCACCACCATCAGCCTGTTGTGGTTTATAGCTTTTCGTGTCATTCAGAATTATCCTTACAAGGTTTTTCCATCTTATCTAGCAGCATTTTCCCTTGATGAGTGAGTACTCGTCAGACTTGGAGTCCTGTGGATCTAGGTGGTTTTGCATCGAGAAATTAGCTGTTAGTGTGGCTTAGGCATTTAATTTTAAAATATGAATTTGGGAAGAAGCTGACTTCTTCCAGATGTCTTTTGTTTCTCTTGTGTTTGAAGCAAGAGATGATATCATAGTGGTTAAGAGGCCAGATGCTAGAACTAGACTACCTAGATTCCAAGCTTTGGAACTTTTTATTGAGATATAATTGGGGTAATATCCTATTACTTTTAGGCGTACAAGTTAATGATTCAATATTCTATATATTGCAAAAGAATTACTACAGTGAATTTAGTTAAATCAGTCACCGCACAAATTTCTTTCTTGTGATGAGGACTTTTATTTTGGCAAATACACAACACAGTATGATTAACTATAGTCCCCATGCTGTGCATTACAGTCCGTGACTGATTTATTTTATAGCCGCTGTTCCTTGGTTTCATCTCATAAGTTGTTGTGAGAATTAAATGAGATGATAATCTATATAAAGGAACTCCTTGTAAGTGCACGCTAGCATGCTTTATTTTCCTAAAATTACTTTTAAAAGAATAACAATGAAAAATACCTCTACTCCCTTTGGCGCCCATTGGCTCAGTGATTGAACGTCGACCTGTGAACCAGGAGGACACCATTCGATTCCCAGTCAGGGCACGTGTCCAGGTTGTGGGCTCGATCCCCGTTGGGGGGAGGTGGGGGGAGGGCGTGCAGGAGGCAGCCGATCAATGATTCTCATCATTGATGTTTCTACCTCCCTCTCCCTCTCCCTTCCTCTGTGAAATCCATGAAAATATAATTTAAAAAAACAGCCTCTGCAAGTGCTCCTTAAAGCATAATTGTTATATTTTAATTTCCTTATTAAAATTTAGTTGGAAGCAAATATCCCCACAAAGCCAGATCTGTGAAGCTGCGAGAGTAGAATGTAAACATCAACAATCTATTCTTAGAGACACATAGCGGCTTTTTTTCAGAATGGTATTTACAGCCCCAGCTTTATTTACACAGCTAGCATCTAGCATGACGCTGAAGAAGTCATTCACAAATATATGAGTAAGAAGCCGGTTTCAGACGAGCCAGAAATGGCCATCACAGCAGCCCAGGGAGCTAGCTAGCATGGACAAGAATTTGAGAGTCATTGTCCACAAGTTAAACGTTTCTTTTTTCTGTAATAAAACTTCAAGACACTTTGAGTTGGCAAGACGGATTCTGCATTTTAGCAGAAGTTCAGTGTAGTTAGGTTCTACCGAGCGCTCAGTTCCTATCAAGACCGGGAAGCATCAAGTTAATAAGGCGTGTGGTCCAGGTCTGGTGGGAGGGACACAGAATTAGGCCTTTGGGTCAGAGATGGAGAAGGAGGGCGTAGAAGGGTGTTCTGGAGAGAAGGCTTGATGGTAGCATTTGGTAGCAGAGGGGTTTCCGAGGCGTGGTAAGAGACTAAAGCCAGGCGGTAGTGGTTGGACAGTGAAGGGAGGGAGGTACATGGGGGTTTGTTCATCTAATCAATAGGTAGTTGTTGAGCACCTTTGAAAAGGTACTGTTCTAGGCTCTGATACTGCACTAAATAAATACATAAAGCAAAAATCTCTGCCTCATGGAGCTCACAGACCAATGGACATGTTCATTATAGTTTTAGTTGGAAGGAACGTTACAGGTTTAGGGGATTCTTTGGTTTGGTTCAGCTGTTTTTAAGATGTACACTCCAGGAATCTGTTTATGGGCTGAATTCTTTTTCCAGAACTTCCAGAGTAAAAGTCTGGAGAAAGGGAATAACCAGACAACCAGAGTTCTGGGAGAGAGGCGAGGAGTTTGGATCCTCTGCTAGAATACATCTTCTTTCCACTGAGGAAGTGTAAATTTCAGATCCTCTCTTCCCCAGGCACAGCTGTCTATAGACCATGTTATTTGTCAGAAATAGACAGTGCTCTGACTCTCAGCCTGTGGCATGAGGACCGCTGCTACGTCATCGCAGAAATGAGAGGACAGTGATCTTGTAATCTCCTACAATGACATAGGAATACTTATAACTCACGGGAGCTCTTATTGATACGTACCTGCACTGGGTCGGAGAGAGCAAAACCTCTCCATTGCTTCTAAGAGGCCTTCTCGGCGCTTTCTCTCTGCTTCTGTAGTTACGCGGCCCTGCTCGCCGACTGGCCCGTGGTGGTCCTGGGCATGTGCACTGTGCTCATCGTGGTCTGTGCCTTGGTCGGAGTGTTGGTGCCGGAGCTTCCCGACTTCTCTGACCCGTTGCTGGTAAGGAGGGTTGGGCTAGGAGAGTTTGTTTATCTATTTTCTTTAGCCCAAACCCATCTAAAAGAAAAAAAAAAGTATGGTAATACCAATTGCATTATGTTAGATAGGATCCCATTTTTAAAAAACCTTCTCAAGCCATTGATAGGAATACAGGTCTCTTTCAGCAAATTAGAGATGTAGCTTCTCTGTCCTCAGATCCGTAAAGGTCAGGAAACATGCTCTCCATGAAGAATCTGGACATTGTGCTTCTCGGTCCCCATGTTTAATCTAAGGAGCAAGAAATTGGAGAATCTGCTGACTACAAAAAACTTCATGAAGTCTTTAAACTGTCTTCTCCCCCCTCCCCACCCCTCCCTCACCCCCAAGAGAAGCTAAAGGAATTCCGGCATTGCTAAGAGATAGTAGGGTCTGTTTCTAAGTAAAATCTGCTTTGGGGTGGAATAATGAGGAAAATATGAGCACGTTGAATGATACCCTCCTTGTGAAACACTGTAACATGCACAGTGTAATTTAATTTGACCATAGTATGTTATAACCGAAAAGTAGGCATTTACAAAAAGCTGAGGTATGAATGTGAAAGAAGCTTTAGATAAGTTTTTTTCCCCTTTCCTGAGACATGTGGCACACCAAAGAGTCAGAATGTTTTGCCACAGTAAATAGGTGGTCATTATCAGGTTAAGTCATCTTGTTTTAATGCTGGTCACCTCTGGAGTAAGGAACCTCTGTGTGTGTATTTTCGGTTGAAAGCTATTCATCACCTTGACATTGCTTTCCCAAACTGCTGAACTACCCTCAGCCTGAAATGAAGGACACTAACCGGAATTTGTAACTTTTCGTCTTAGGGTTTTGAACCAAGAGGGACTACAATAGGCCAGAGACTGGTCACGTGGAATAACATGGTGAAAAACACGGGATACAAAGCAACGTTAGCCAATTATCCCTTTAAATATGCAGATGAGCAAGCCAAAAGGTAATCATTTATTAACGTTCAGACAAAACATTGCTTAGTGAATTCCACTTTTAAACATCGCCTGAGCAAAAAGATAAAATGTAAAATGTGTGGCTCAAAATCTTGTTTAAATTGCCATTGTCTAGTAAGATTTTGTTGTATTGGGATGAAAAAGTGAGCATTTGGGGCCTTTTTTCTTTCAGAAGTGAGAAAATTAATGTTGGTTGCTTATATTAATCCTTCCAACTTAATTTCCACTGCTAAGTAGGCCATGACTTTGAGGATGTCCTGTTACAGGCACGTTTATGGGCCTTGAAATAGCTCGCACTTTATTGAAGATCAACTTGCTCTGTTTCAGCCATCGGGATGACAGATGGTCGGACGACCATTATGAAAGAGAAAAGAGAGAAGTGGACTGGAACTTCCACAAAGACAGCTTTTTCTGCGATGTTCCAAGTGAGTGGTGTTTGCAGATGATCATACCTCTCAGCAGCTTCCTGGCCCTCTTGGGATTGACACGATCAAGATCTAAGATCGGGACTGATAGCAGTGTGTGGCTGGTCTTAAAGGGATTCTAGCTTCATTAACTTGTCATTGTACATCTCCAGGTCAGTCAGCCACTGCTCTGAATTTGTTTACCTATAAGGAAAATGAACAAGGAAGAGATGATGGAGTTATACTTGATTTTAAGGAGGATATAAATCTAGTAAAATTCTTGTGCTGGCCCCAAATTTCAAATCACCGTTTTGTCTTGTTTTGTTAATCCTCACCCAAGGTTATTTTTTCTATTGATTTTTTTTCCCCCCCAGAGAGAGTGGAAGGGAGTGGGAGAAAGAGAGAGAAACATCAATGTAAGAGAGACACATTGATTGGTTGCTTCCTGCACGAGCCCCAACCGGGGCCAGGGATTGAGCCTGCAACCAACGTACATGCCCTTGACCAGAATCGAACCCGAGACCCGTCAGTCCTCGGGCCGATGCTCCCACCACAGAGCCAAACTGGCTAGGGCTCAAGTCACTTCCTAAAATTCCTCGTACTATTTAAAAAATAGTGCACATTTTGGGATTGAACCCTGAAATAATCCACTGTATGACCAAAAATGTAGTTTTAAAATTTTGATTCCTTCAAACAGTCTTCTGTGGCCCTAACCGGTTTGGCTTAGTGGATAGAACATCGGCCTGCGGACTCAAGGGTCCCAGGTTCAGTTCCGGTCAGGGGCATGTACCTTGGTTGCGGGCATATCCCCAGTGGGGCGTGTGCAGGAGGCAGCTGATTGATGTTTCTAACTCTCTATCCCTCTCCCTTCCTCTCTGTAAAAAAATCAATAAAATATATTTAAAAAAAAAAAAAGTCTTCTATGCGCCTGCCTTGTCCTTAGGCATTAGAGACAGAGAGATGAGCAAAGTCAAGCCCAGAAGCCCAAAGCTTGAATGTCACAGGGACCTGGGTCATGATGTGAGTGAGTGACCCAGGCGGGAGGCAGTGAGAAGCGATGCGCATGGGGAGCTGGAGAGCGCCTCTGGGAAGAAAGCAATTGCTACTTTGCAGCAGAACATGCCCTTGCAGCAATGAAAGCCCAGATGTTGTAAGAACTTCCCTGAGGCCAGGGAGCCAGATTTATGTCGGCAGCAAATTCGCTGAAAATCTGCTGTCGCCTGGAGTTGGCCTAACCCCTCTGCAGTTGCCACGGAGGGATGAGTACAGGCCAGAGCAGCGGTCACCAACCTTTCAGGCCTCACGGACCACTGGTTGGCGACTGCTGGGCTAGAGGAAATGCATGTAAGTGTGTAAGTCTCCGATCAGCCTAGATGAGGAGTGAGGAACTGTGGAATGAACATTAACATTAAGCTCTTTTGAGTCTAGCTTTTTTGGTTGTTGTTGAAAATCTCTCTAAAATGTGTAGCTTCCTGTAGATCAGATCACAGAGGACCTGATTGGCTCTCAGATGTTTCTAGATCTTGCCAAGCCCCCGGGTCTTTATTTTGGACACTGTTTCACTACATAGTCATAGCGAGATAGAAAGTAGGAGATTAGGGAGCATTTTATACTGATCTCAGGAAGCAATGCAAGTTTCTTTTCTGTCTCTTATTAGAAAAGTTGGTTTCTGGTTAGTTGCATGTTCAGCTACCTTGTCTCTCTCAAAGTGTTGCTAGATATTGCTTAACCAACATCTCTCTTAACCAGGAAGCACATTAGCAAATTCAAGAGATACAGTCTCCTTTATATTTCTGTAGTCAGCACTAAATATTTGTCTCATGAGCAGTAGGTTCCACCCTGATAAAGTCATTTCTGACTGCTCGAATGAAATGTTCCACAAAGCTTATTTTGATCTGTAAAACCAATCAACATAAGATAACAGCCATTCGATGAAGACAAGCGTTTACTAAAGAAAACTTCAGAATCGTGAACAAAGTTTATGTAATAAAAGCTTTATTCATTCATTTGCAGGTTGAGTTTCTCTGTTAGCACATTTAGGCATCTTAGATCACGTGAAACTCATCCGCTTCGTTTTCCTTGGTTCAGATTTTTGGTCACAGCCGGGGAGGCAGAAAGAGGACTTACTGAGCACCCCTTGTCCGTCTCATTTAGTCCCCACGGCGGTTGGAGATGGTGTTGCTGTCTCCATCTAACCAGTGAGGAGCCGAGGTGCAGAGAAGCAGTTAGTTGCCCAAGATCGCCAGCTAGGAATCGGCAAGACCTGGTCACACCCAGGGCTAACGCCAGAGACCACACCCTTTCCAGAACATCGCACAGCCTCCCTCATTCAGAAACATGTTTTATATGAGGAGGATTTTCCACACAGTTTTTCTACTCTGGTGAACTCAGCCAGGACGTGGAGGGGTCTGTGATCCTGGCCAGCAGTCTGTACTTAGTGGACTGTTTTTAGTGCTTTTAAATGGATCACCTGCCATGCCCCCTCTCTAGTTAGCTGCCAGAGAAAGAGAGCATCCTCACCATCCATCCTCGGCAGTCCCCGTGCGTCGTTCTCTGATGTTATGTGCCATCGTGGTGACGTGTTGTGAAATGAAGAGGGAGGCAATCAATTAACTGCCTGCTGGACGGTCTATGGATTGCTCTTCCTCATTAGAGTCTGACCTGAACTTCATTTGTCATGTGAGTCCTGGGGTTTTTCAGGTGCAGAGAGTAGACAAAGGCCTCGAGCGAAGACAGTGTTAGAGCGTTGCTTTTTTTTTTTTTTTAACATTTTCTCCTGGAATTTGTCGAAGGAAGGGCTCCCCTGCCGGTAATGAATTGTCCATGTGGCTTCCCAGTTTGAATCGCTTCTAAATGCCAAGTCTTATGGAATCCATGAATAATTTGTAACCCTGTTTCTTTTCTTTTTTCATATCCACAGGTGACCGCTATTCCAGGGTAGTGTTTGCTTCAGCCGGAGGAGAGACGTTATGGAATTTACCAGCAATTAAATCGATGTGCAATGTAGATAATTCAAGGGTATGTAAAGGGAAACTGGAGTAGGTTTGGCACCAATGAGGCGATGCTTTTGAAACTCGGCTTACTGCTGAGCCCCGTCTGATCCGATGGGAGTCCTCGCGGGGCTCACCTGTGAGGAGTAAACAGCAGTGGCAGGCCGCTTGGCAGTCTCTTAGATCCCAGGATCAAAGTGTCCGTCCCCACCCTCCACACTGTCTTCCCGAATAAAGGACTTGTTTCTTTCGCTCTCCTGTTCTCTTTGTCTGTGACAGTCTCTTGTATTCTTTCACAGCAGCTCTCCTTTCAGGATCATAGTTAAGACTCTTTTTCCTTCTTTTGTCATATTTCCTCTCCTAATCTGCTTTCATTGTTCACCATGCTTCCCCCCCGAGGCAACTGTCAGCGCCTTAATTATGCAGCCAAATGCCTGCCTTCCTAGCAGTCCCTGGGCCATTTCCCTGTGACCTCAAAGGAAGGTTTAGGGCACAGGCTGGGGAAAGGGACATCAAAGGATATGAATCGGTATCTGTGCACATGGCCGGAGCACTGCAGGCCAGGTTGCCCTCTCCTCCACACACCTTGCTCTGGAGAAGGCAGAGGATGCCGGGAGACAGCACTTCCTGTCCTGGAGCCCAAAAGCTGTCAGGCCAGAGCATGCCAAGGCCGCCTCTGGGAGAGCTGTCAATTCCCCGAGTTCAGAGGCAGTTTCTCCAGGTAGAAACTGCTGTCTGATGTCACTCCTGGGCCTGTCCAAGCACAGTGACCGGGCGGAAAGGAACTCATTGCATTCTTAGCGCCACCCTAAGGTACAGCTGGAAATGGAAGCGCGTGCAAAAGAGCTTGCTAGCCTGACCATCAGCGCAATCGCCTGTTCTGGCAACAGCGTTCCTTAATGGAGTACAAGGCAGAAAGGACGCTGAGGTCACCCAGACCAGCCGTCTCATTGAGCCGAGAACTAAGTTAGTTCTCAGGTTCACTAGTTGGCCCCAGATCTCCTGACTGTATTCATCCTGAGAGGCGTTTATACCTTTTGGAAGTAACTGAGGCAGAACGGACGCTGAGGCCACCCAGCCCAGCAGTCTCATTGAGCCGAGAACTAAGTTCTCAGGTTCGCTAGTTGGCCCCAGATCTCCTGACTCTCTTCATCCTGAGAGGCGTTTATACCTTTTGGAAGTAACTTCCCCATGGGGTGAGCCATCAGGATTTGCTGCCAGTGCCGTCTTGTCTCTGTCCAACTCCAAACAGGCCAGAGGCACAGACCATCAGTAAACAACAGCGGCTTCTTCCCAGATCAGTTTCCATCGGCCGCATTTTCTCTCTCCCACACGATCAGTTCGTTATTCAGGAGCTGTGAAGGTGTTTCTCCTCGTCATGGGCTCCACCTTCTTCTGTAGACAGTGAGGCCCGGAGGAGGAGATGGTGGAGTATCTGCGATGAGTAGACTATGCCCCGTCCTGTACCTCACTCACTAGGCCTGTGACCTTGGGACATGTAACCCAGTGTAAGCCGGGCTGGTTACTGGATGTTCACACCTTGGATGAGAACGGCTCCTTCCCTTCTGTACCTCCTAGTTCTCGTTACCCCACCTTCACAGTTGATCTTTAGACCTCCCCCCCTGAAGACGCTGTAGTGACTGAATTCACGCTGTTGATTAATAGCTGATGTTTATTAGGTGCTGCTGATGTCTGCCAGGGCGTGTCTCAAACACCTAACGAATTATTTCATTATTCGTTGAATTATTATTCATCGGCACCATAGTGTTATGAATTAAGTACTATTATTGCCCATTTTATTTATTTTTTAAATATTTTTTATTGGTTTCAGAGAGAGGAAGGGAGAGAGAGAAACATCAATCGGCTGTCTCCTGCATGCCCCCTACTGGAGATCAAGCCCACAACCTAAGCATCGGCCCATGAACATGACCTCCTGGTTCATGGGTCAGTGCTCAATCACTGAGCCACACAGGCTGGGCTTACTGCCCATTTTATAGATGAGGAAAGTTCACACAGGAGGGAAGTGGCAAATGCAGGATTTGAGCCAAGTCTCACTTCAGCCTGTGCCTCATGCTCCTAAAATGCAAGAAATACACCATTTTTGTTCAGTTTTACTATAGATGCCATTTCCCACTCAAACGAACCTCAGAGTCACCATGGCCTGGAATAAGTCATTTTTAGAGCTAGCAGTTTATTCTGTGATGCCTTCAAAGACTCAAAAGCCAGAAAGCAGTGCTCCAGAAGAGGGAAGTGGCAAATGCAGGATTTGAGGCCGGCCAAGTCTCACTCCAGCCTGTGCCTCATGCTCCCAAAATGCAGGAAATACACCATTTTTGTTCCGTTTTACTATAGATGCCATTTCCAACTCAAATGAACCTCAAAGAGTCACCATGGCCTGGAATAAGTGTCATTTTTAGAGCTAGTGGTTTATTCTCTGATGCCTTCAAAGACTCAAAAGCCAGAAAGCAGTGCTGAGGCACAATAGCTTTCACAAGTGGGAGCAATACACTGTTTCATGTATAACCCATATCCATCCAGAGCAGATGGATAAATTCAGCATCAATAGGTGGCTTCCCAAAAGGCATACAGAACGGACACGATAAAAAAGCTGAATGAATGGCACGAGGGGAAGTAACGGGAGGAAAATCACGAAGCTAAGGGTGAGATTTAACAGGAAAGAACACATACCCCGTGATCCTGTACACTGGCTGATCGGGAGCAGCAAACTTGTCTGTGCCCTCCCTGACAGCCACCGCCAAAAGCAACTCACAGTCAGGGGCGAAAGCCATAGAATAGGGTAACCAGTTCGTTTCTCGAGGATGCCCAGTTTCCCCTAATAGTAAGGCAGGCGAGGACCGCCCTCGCTCCTCACCGCCTTCATCAAAATGCAGGATGTGTTCAGGATCCTCAACCTGCTCACAGGGATACAGGATGGACCCTTAGCTGATTGGTAGGCCCTGTCTCAGGCAGATTGGTAGCAGGAACACGTCATAGCAGAAGCATTTCTACAAGAGATTAATGCAAGGACATCTAAATATGTGCCTGCTAGTGGTTTTAATACATTAGCAGAATGCAGGCCATAAAGGAATGGGTGCACTCTGCTTCTTTGAGTGTTTTTCTCCCCTGGGCTCGGAATAAGGATTGGGTAGCTACGCGGTCAAGTTTGTAATCCGTAGCAAGGACACCCTAAGCACGTGGTCCACGTGTGAAATGTGCGGAACACACCCAAGACACGCAGCTCAATGAGTGGCCCAGCCAGTCACAGACCCACACCAGCACGTGGGCAGCTAGATCACGGGGTCCCCAAATTCTGCCTCCGAGGGCATGGCTGTCATTTTCACTTGTTAAATGAAAGGCTGTTTTTACCAATTGCTGGCACCTTTGTATTCTCATTGTGGTCCACGTGTGAAATGTGCGGAACACACCCAAGACACGCAGCTCAATGAGTGGCCCAGCCAGTCACAGACCCACACCAGCACGTGGGCAGCTAGATCACGGGGTCCCCAAATTCTGCCTCCGAGGGCATGGCTGTCATTTTCACTTGTTAAATGAAAGGCTGTTTTTACCAATTGCTGGCACCTTTGTATTCTCATCTCTAACTCTGCCGTGAACCCAGAACAGTAAACCTTTCCCGTAGGGATGAGATATTCAGTGGCATCTTGGTTAGCAGGTCAGATTTCTGCTGTTTTTACCAATTGCTGGCGCCTTTGTATTCTCATCTCTAACCCAGAACAGTAAACCTTTCCCGTAGGGATGAGATATTCAGTGGCATCTTGGTTAGCAGGTCAGATTTCAGGTTATTTCAGATTGTTGCTGAGCCTCTTTTAGTCCCTCAGCTCTGGACCCATTTCGGGCTTTTATTTGTTGCTGTGGTTGGAGCAGACTGTGTCCCGAGGCTACTTGGCCGTCTCCCGCCACCCTCTCCCCCAAATGCTGGTATTCGAGGCTACTTGTCCATCTCCCACCACCCTCTCCCCCAAATGCTAGTCTTGTACTTAAGCACTTGATTATTAACAGTATCACGTTGAATGGGACATATACCAAAATGACACAGAGCAGAAGAGCTTCACTGTCGGTAGGTCGACCCTAGAGAACGCCTGGTCCTCAGTGTAACATCCAGGGGGACCGGATGCTTCCCTGTCGCCCGCCTGTGCTGACAGCACACTGAGGACAAGCCCCAGACACGCCGAGTCCAGGCAGCCTTGCCTTCCCCCCGAAGAGCTTCCGCTCCCAAGCTGTCGGCTCCCTCCTGACAGTCTGTTCCTTAGCCTTTCGCAGGAGCCTCAGTGTCGCCCCATCTTCTCCGTTCCTTTTCTGCCCTTTGACCTCGGGGCCCACCGGCAGTTGGCCACTCGTGCCCAGGAGTGTGCTTCTCTAGCTGTCTCTGCTGGAAACCCTGAGCCCTGCTTCTTAGTCTCTGCGCATCGTCGGAGGCAGGACTCTGCGCAATCGGCTGATAAAAGGGATTTGAAATTCGGTGCCTAAGACCCCGTTTTCTGGGGCAGTTCTCATGGACAGTTAGACCCTCCCAATGCTTATTCTAAGGAAGGCCGTGGAGCCCCTGCCTCTTCTCTTCTCTCAGGTCCCTTCAGTTTTCCAGTCAGGAGGCCCGTGGTCACGTGGGGGAGGCGAGGCCAGCAGTTACTAGAACCTGGGGTTAGGGGGTGAACTTGCTTCCCTTTAGCTGCTTCCCTCAGCCTCTTAAAATAGCTCCAGCTCGGCCGCTAGTTTTAAAAGCTAAGGTATGATTTAAAGCTCTGCTGCCTCCTTTTTCTCTCTTCTTCCTTTACCCCCTGTTTAAGCCAACCCCACCCTGCTGCCGTCTAACCATGAAATGTGCAGGGACACGGGACAGCCACATAAGCAGCATGGCTTTCCACAGCAGCCGATTTTCGAATGCCTCCAATTAAAAGTTGCTCACAAGAATTACAAGAAGTCACTCTCACTCACTCTGTCCCTACATTTATAAATGTCAAAGATTTTGAAATCATCCCTATGAATGCTTTTCCCCAAAATATGGCAGAAATATATGTCTTCTGCATGAAGGCATACCTGCTTGCCAAGCTCTGTAAGCTCCACCGGGTAATATATAACCGAGTATCAGCTGGCTGAGTCTCACCACCAAGTTAGGGCCGCTGTCCACCACACGGACTCCTCTTGGCATCCCCTCCGCAGGTTCACGCAGACCCTTCCACATAACACGCTGGTCCTTCCACATGAGTTAGGATCACTGGTTTTCTGGTCTCATTTCCCTGTTGCGAGCAACTTGAGGGCAAGGCTCACTGTGCCGTATTCATCTTGTATGGGCATCAGTAACATTTTTTCCTTTTGAACGGAGGGACGGATGGGACCATACGGCCTCACTCCTGACCGCCTAGGCCAGTGATGGCGAACCTTTTGAGCTCGGCGTGTCAGCATTTTGAAAAACCCTAACTTAACTCTGGTGCCGTGTCACATAGAGAAATTTTTTGATATTTGCAACCATAGTAAAACAAAGACTTATATTTTTGATATTTATTTTATATATTTAAATGCCATTTAACAAAGAAAAATCAACCAAAAAAATGAGTTCGCGTGTCACCTCTGACACGCGTGTCATAGGTTCGCCATCACTGGCCTAGGCAGTTCCTTGTCCTGCATTCCTTTAGACTCAGGGCCTCAGGCACTAGCTTCCAACCCCGGGTAAGTGAACCGTCACGATGTCTCAGCTCTGTCCTTACTACTTGCCCTGCACGCGCCCCCGGAACTGCTTTCCAAGGTGGTCCATCCGCCAGCCCCGCCTTGGAATCAGGATCGCCTCTCCGGAGGCTGCTGGCGTTTATTTTTGATAGTGGCCATCCAAGTAGTGTTCGTCTGGTCCAACATTCTCATCTTTGATCAGACATCCTCATGTAAAACAAAAACCCTGCTGTTATTTGTGAAGGTTATTCAAGGACAGGATTCTGTGCTTGCCTTCCCAGTTTCCGCTGGCAACCTGCTGCCTTTATCTTTCCGTCCGGTCACTTCATCCGCTGCAAACAGGTTCCTTCTAGCAGATCCTGGATTTCGTACTCCGGAGGCTGCTGGCGTTTATTTTTGAGTTGCCATCCAAGTAGTGTTCATCTGGTCCAACATTCTCATCTTTGATCAGACATCCTCGTGGAAAACAAAAACCCTGCTGTTATTTGCGAAGGTTATTCAAGGACAGGATTCTGTGCTTGCCTTCCCAGTTTCCGCTGGCAACCTGCTGCCTTTATCTTTCCGTCCGGTCACTTCATCCGCTGCAAACAGGTTCCTTCTAGCAGATCCTGGATTTCGTAATGGGTGCGATTCGTCTTCCTCCACCTGAGAACTGTCAGGCATTGGGGTTGCTTTGCCTCTCCGCTCCCCCCGCTGAGTGCAGGGGCCTGCGGGTTCTCTCTCTGCAGGGAGGGAACTGGTATCTACCTTGAAGACTGGAGGGTGCTCTCCCAGAGTTCCCTGGTGTCCGCTAGGCATCTGCTCCCCCTGACAGTCTATGTGACTGTCTTCACCTGGTAGCAGCTAAATAGGAATTACCCTATTTTGTGAAATGTCAAGTAATTCTCGCTCTTTGGAAGTGAACTTGAAAATGAGGGCTTTGTTACAATAAACATTGATTTAGTACACTTGAATGATAGCCTTTTAGGCTTTTTTTTTTAACCCCTAACAGAGTATCTTTAAAAACAACAACTTTTTATTATGGAAATTTTCAAACCGATGCAGAAGTAGAATAACAGAATAATTCCTCATGTGGAAGTTTCCCAGCTTCAGCAGTTCCCAATGCATGGCCCATTTATTTTATCTGAGTCCCAGTAAAGTACAGTTGACCTTGAACGGCATGGCGGTTTGCGGGGCCAACCCCCTGTGCTGTCGAAAATTCACATAAAACTTTTGACTCCCAAAAGGCTTAACTGCGTATCTTGATGACCAGGGCTTAGGTTCTGAGTGACTTGGTTCTTCGGTAAGTCTCAGTTCTAAAGAGGTGATTGTGCCAACATGTCCTCCACTTGGACAAGGTATTTCATGCATGATTGATAAAGCCCACTTTAATAAAGATCAAGGTGGGTTTAGGCAAAAATATTCACACCCCTCTTTTTAAAAAAAATATGTTTTTATTGATTTCAGAGAGCAAGGCAGCGGAAGAGAGAGAAACATCAGTGATGAGAGAGAATCATGGATCAGCTGCCTCCTGCACACCCGCTACTGGGGATGGAGCCCATAACCTGGGTATGTGCCCTGACCAGGAATCGAACCGTGACCTCCTGGTTCCTAGGTCGACGCTTAATCACTGAGCCACGCCAGCCGGGCACTCACACTCTTCTTGAACTTTGGAGTTTCCTCCCTGAACAGCCTTTGGCAAGTGAGACGAGGGGCCGTGTGAAGTGGGTCGTCTCTAGCTCTGGTGCTTCCGAGAGGAGTCTGCACGGGCTCCCAGGAGGGGCTGTTCCGAAGGCTGTGGACTGGCACTGGCTTCCGCATGAATCAGCAAGGCCAGGCTTGGCATTGGGACAACTTTCCCATTTTCTGTAACAAGAACAGCCGTCAGCAGAAAAGCCTTCTCCGGGAAGAGCGGCCCATGGGAGGTACTGTCCCGTGAACCCGGGTCGTCACACCTGCTAGTACCAGGCAGCGGAGCCGTTTGCCGAGAGAGGAAGTTCTCCCCAAGGGGTTCGGCCACCTTGAGTAAACTTTAAAGGATGCGGAGGAAATCATTAAACTCCTTCTTATTTATGGTATTAATTGTACATATTCGTTTACAATCAGGTATATCCCAGGGTGGGCACAAGTAGGTTCACAGTTGTGAGTACACGTAACACGGAGTTTCTATTCCTGTATGATTATTGTATTATTTCTTTGTACAACTATAAACCTACTTTTGCCCACCCCTGTGATTGTACATATTTCAGGAAACAGTTTTATTCCAGGGCTTTCATGCATCTTTGTCATCAGCGCTTCTGATGTCAACAGTCACTTTTTTAAAAAATTGTTTTAAAGAGGGTTTTTATTGATTGTTAGAGAGAGAGGAAGGGAGAGGGAGAGAAACATCGATGCGAGCACAAACCATGATTGGCTGCCTCCTGAATGCCCCCTACCAGCTCCCTACCAGCTTGGGGAACGTGTCCCGACCTGGAGTTGAACTGGCAACCTTTAGGTGCACAGGGTGAGGCCAACCAACTGAGCCACACCAGCCAGTTGCTTTCTGATTCGCTGACAGTTTTCTAGGAGATGTCATTGATGCTTGCAACTAATCAACAGTCTTTTTAAAAAAATTGTTTTAAAGAGGTTTTTTATTGATTGTTAGAGAGAGAGGAAGGGAGAGGGAGAGAAACATCGATGTGAGCACAAACCATGATTGGCTGCCTCCTGCACGCCCCCTACCAGCTCCCTACCAGCTTGGGGAATGTGTCCCGACCTGGAGTTGAACTGGCAACCTTTAGGTGCACAGGGTGAGGCCAACCAACTGAGCCACACCAGCCAGTTGCTTTCTGATTCGCTGACAGTTTTCTAGGAGATGTCATGATGCTTGCAACTAGGTTGATTGAACCAATATACCTTCATCACCCAACATTTCATACCGATAACCAGAAATTTTAGGCAAAGCCACAGATTGGTTTCATGAATCAATTGGCCCGTTGTCCTCTTAACTGATCCGGTAGGTATGCATACCCAAGCCTCACAGCCTGTCCATGTTATTGCTTTTTAGAGGGACTTTGAAAAGGCTTGTTTACCGAAGAGGTGTTAATTTCCTCTCCTCTTTGAAACCACACCAGCACTAGCTGAAGTTGTTTCACACTTGCCTGTCATCCCCAAGCAGTACTTTGTTGTTCAGAGTAAAGTACCCTAGCGAGGACTTTGCCACAGCAGGGCTCTGAGGGGAACTCACACTGGGCATTCACACACCAAGGATGGCTATTTACCTTCTGTAACTCCCTGGCCCTCGAGGCCACCTTAACCCAGACCTCTGAGCAACCCGCTTTATTAATTTATTTATTTAAAATATGTTTTTATTGATTTCAGAGAGGAAGGGAGAGGAAGGGAAACATCAACAATGAGAGAGAATCATGGATCTGCTGCCTCCTGCACGCCCCACACTGGGGTTTGTGCCCACAATCCGGGCATGTGCCCTGACCGGGAATCGAACCGTGACCTCCTGGTTCCTAGGTTGATGCTCAACCACTGAGCCACGCCGCCCCGGTGAGCGACCCTGTTTTAAACGCCCATCCTCCCTGTGTCTCTCTCTGCAGATCAGGGCGCACCCCCAGTTCAGCGACCTCTGCCAGCGGACCACGGCCGCCTCCTGCTGCCCCAGCTGGACGCTGGGCAACTACATCGCCATCCTGAACAACCGGTCGTCCTGTCAGAAGATCGTGGAGCGGGACGTGACCCACACGCTGAAGCTGCTCCGCGCCTGCGCCAAGCACTACCAGAACGGCACGCTGGAGCCCGACTGCTGGGACGCGGCCGCCCGGAGGAAGGACCAGCTCAAGTGCGCCCACGTGCCGCGCAAGTGCACCAAGTACAACGCTGTCTACCAGATCCTGCACTACCTGGTGGACAAGGACTTCCTGGCCCCGAGGGCGGCCGACCACTCCGCGCCCACCCTCAAGTACAGCATGCTCTTCTCGCCCACCGAGAAGGGGGAGAGCATGATGGGCATCTACCTGGACAACTTCGAGCACTGGAACGCGTCCGACGGCGTCACCACCGTCACCGGCATCGAGTTTGGGATCAAGCACAGCCTGTTCCAGGACTACCTGCTGATGGACACCGTGTACCCCGCCATCGCCATCGTCATCGTCCTGCTCGTCATGTGCGTCTACACCCGGTCCGTGTTCATCACGCTCATGACCATGTTCGCCATCATCAGCTCCCTGATCGTCTCCTACTTCCTCTACCGCGTGGTGTTCAACTTCGAGTTCTTCCCCTTCATGAACCTCACGGCGCTCATCATCCTGGTGGGGATCGGGGCCGATGACGCCTTCGTCCTGTGCGACGTCTGGAACTACACCAAGTTCGACAAGCCCCAGGCCGACACCGCGGAGACGGTGGGCGTCACCCTGCAGCACGCTGCCCTGTCCATGTTCGTCACCAGCTTCACCACGGCCGCCGCCTTCTACGCCAACTACGTGAGCAACATCACGGCCATCCGCTGCTTCGGGGTGTACGCGGGCACCGCCATCCTGGTCAACTACCTGCTGATGGTCACGTGGCTGCCCGCCGTGGTCGTGCTGCACGAGCGGTACCTGCTCAACATATTCACCTGCTTCCGGAAGCCCCAGCCGCAGGTGTACCCCCACAAGAGCTGCTGGGCGGCCGCGTGCCGGGCGGGCCACAAGGCCCTGTTTGCCGTCTCCGAGGCCTCGCGCATTTTCTTCGAGAAGGTGTTGCCCTGCATCGTCATTAAGTTCCGCTACCTCTGGCTGTTCTGGTTCCTCGCCCTGACCGTGGGGGGCGCCTACATCGTGTGCGTGAACCCCAAGATGAAGCTGCCCTCCTTGGAGCTGTCCGAGTTCCAGGTGTTCCGGTCGTCTCACCCCTTCGAGCGCTACGACGCCGAGTACAAGAAGCTCTTCATGTTCGAGCGCGTCCACCACGGCGAGGAGCTGCACATGCCCATCACGGTGATCTGGGGGGTGTCCCCCGAGGACAACGGCAACCCGCTGAACCCCAAGAGCAAAGGCAAGCTGACCTTGGACAGCAGCTTCAACATCGCCAGCCCCGCGTCCCAGGTCTGGATTCTGCACTTCTGCCAGAAGCTGCGAAACCAGACCTTCTTCTACCAGACGGACGAGCAGGACTTCACCAGCTGCTTCATCGAGACCTTCAAGCGCTGGATGGAGAACCAGGACTGCGACGAGCCGGCCCTGTACCCCTGCTGCAGCCGCTGGAGCTTCCCCTACAAGCAGGAGGTCTTCGAGCTGTGCATCAAGAGGGCCATCATGGAGCTGGAGCGCAGCACGGGGTACCACCTGGACAGCAAGACCCCGGGGCCCCGCTTCGACATCAACGACACCATCCGGGCCGTGGTCTTGGAGTTCCCGAGCACCTACCTCTTCACGCTGGCCTACGAGAAGATGCACCAGTTCTACCGGGAGGTGGACGCGTGGATCTCCCGCGAGCTGAGCTCGGCCCCCGAGGGCCTGGGCAACGGCTGGTTCGTCAGCAACCTGGAGTTCTACGACCTGCAGGACAGCCTCTCGGACGGCACCCTGGTCGCCATGGGGCTCTCCGTGGCCGTGGCCTTCAGCGTGATGCTGCTCACCACCTGGAACGTGATCATCAGCCTCTACGCCATCGTCTCCATCGCGGGGACCATATTTGTGACGGTCGGCTCTCTCGTCCTGCTGGGCTGGGAACTGAACGTGTTGGAGTCTGTCACCATCTCGGTGGCGGTGGGCCTGTCGGTGGACTTCGCCGTCCACTACGGGGTGGCGTACCGCCTGGCCCCGGACGCCGACCGGGAGGGGAAGGTGGTCTTCTCCCTGAGCCGCATGGGCTCCGCCATCGCCATGGCCGCCCTGACCACCTTCGTGGCCGGGGCCATGATGATGCCGTCCACCGTCCTGGCCTACACCCAGCTGGGCACCTTCATGATGCTCATCATGTGCATCAGCTGGGCCTTCGCCACCTTCTTCTTCCAGTGCCTGTGCCGGTGCCTCGGGCCGCAGGGCACCTGCGGGCAGATCCCTCTGCCCAGGAAGCTCCAGTGCAGCGCCTTCGCCCACCCCTCGCCCGCGAGTCCTCGGGACAAGGGACCCAGCAAAACGCACAGCGTGAATGCTTATCACGCGGGTCCCCGGGGCCAGAAATCGGACACGGAGCATGAGTTCTACGAATTGGAGCCTCTGGCGTCCCCCAGTCGCCCCGCCTCTGAGAAGGCCGCCTACGAAGAGACCCAAGTCTGCTCCGAGTGTCTCAGCGGCCCGGCCAAGAGCGCGGGGATGCCCGTGCCCGCAGCTTACAACGGCGAGCTCGGCCAGAGCG